CTGTCAGAGGCCTGGGGCCACCTCGGCCACGCCTCCCCTTTGTTCCTCTGCTTTCTCACTCGGTCCCACACACCCCGGTGTGGCACAGCTGCGGGCCAGTGACAGGCTTCACCCTACCTCAGAGCTGGCCAGCGCTTGCCCCGCAGATGAAGCCATGGCAAAGGTAGCTGACCTCGGTCCCTCTCTGAGCTCTCTCCCCTGACCCTGGAAACTCTGCTCTCCACAAAAAGAGCCCTGACTTCTCTGAGCCTGTGTGCATGGAGTGCAGATCATGGCCTTTGGTCTAGGTTCGAGTCCCGGGTCATGGGTCGGCTGAGTGACGGGGCCGCAGCATCCCTCCTCTTTGAGTCTGTGCCTTCTCTTGGTCATCTTTGTTCCGGGAGCCATGGGTGAACGTCCTTGCTCTCGGAGCTCCTGCCCTGATGGAGATGCGCTCGGAAGACGCTCACATTGAAAAGCAAGCTGGCTGCAGGTTAAAGCAGGCGTTATCATTACGCAGGAAATAAACAGCTTGGGACAGAGAGGACACGGGGTGCCAGAGAAAGCCGCCGTGTGGAGGTGAGACGTGAGAGTTCCAGGATGAGAAGAGCCAGGGGCAGAGATTTCAAGGCAGGGGCAGCAGGAGGGGCTGAGCTCTTGGTGGGAAAAGGCTGGCCCCGTTGAGGCACCAGAGCCGAGGTGTGTGGCCGGGATCATGGGCGTGGCCGAGGGAAGCGTGGCAGATCGAACTGGAGCATGGGCAAGGGGGTGTCCATGTTTACTCCAAGAACAACGGAAGCCACAACAGGTTTGCGATGACCTTGACGCTGCAGCTGTGGGTGGTGAACAGCGGGGGAAAGACCTCTGGAGCCCACTGCAGGACCCCGGGGACAGGAGGTGGCCGTGGAGCAGGCGAGCCCCGCAGACGCCCATCCTGCACGTCTGCCCCCAGTCCCCTCCGCCCACACCGCGGGCTCCTGCGGGAAGCCACTGGCCTGGCCCCTCTCCATGGCCGCACGTCTGCAGAGCGAGTACTGTGCAGCCTCCCACCCTGCTTCTGCTCGTTTCTTCATCGTCGTGGCGGTCCTCCTGGGCAGCCAGGACTTCCATTTGTCCATGAAGACTCAGAGAGGCTGACTTGCCATGTGAACCACAGCCAGTGGGCCTGTCTCCCCAGCATGGCGGCGTAGGTGCTCAGAACCCAGTGTCGGCTGGGCCGGGTGTCTGAGCTGGGAAGGTGCACGGGGCAGGAGTCTGTCAACAGCTCTCCTGTGGATGGACAGCAGTGGGAGCTGCATCCGGGCAGTTGGAGGCCTCAGCCAAGCTGCAGATGGATGAGCGGGGGTCGGGTGGCAGGCCAGCGGAGAAAGCCGTGCTCCCAGCTAGCGCGTGGTAGCGTGTGAAGCAGGAAGTTGCCTTTGGACAGGCGAGAACTTGTTCTGGGGGCTGAGGGTGGCAGGGGGACAGTGAAGGCTGGCGAGGACAGTAAACAGCAGGTGCCAAGGAGAGACCACCCGACACCGAGTGCCCGGTGCACGCACCAGCGCCTTGCACGATGCCGGTCTGTCATGCCTTCCTCACAGCCGTCTGACGAGGTAGGCGGTGCTGTGTTTTCTTGAGTCCAAGAGGCCATCGCTTTGATAAAAGCTTTTCACAAACACATGCATTATATTTACGCAATGAAGTTGTGTTGTGTCGTGCTTTGACTAGTGGAATTTAGCACGTTTATTCACAGCGTAACCTCTCCTTCTCCAGGCTGCCAGTGAAGTGTGAATCCACGCCTGGGTATTCCGAGCCTCGGAGTCCCTGGCTCTCTGTCAGCTGTGCACACACGGCTCCTCGTGATCTGCCCGGGGGTCCAGTAGCCCTGTTAGGACCAATGGGACATCCGAGAGCAGAAGAAAGAATGGAGGCTGGATCCCACGTGGCCAGTCATGCAGTTCAAGTCCCAAACTCGGCAGCTCAAGAAATATACCGAGCGTGTGTGCACCTGTGCCCAAAATCCCGCAGTGAGGGAGAGATGGAGGAGGAGGGTCTGAGCGGGACCATTCCCCACAGGGTGCTTTCTTACTTTCCTTTTCTGTTTCTCTCCAGAGAGTGCACGTGTCTAAGGGGGGGTAGATGTAAGGCATCTAGTATTTTATTAAACTTGTTTATTAAACTCTCTCTTAATTGGACCAGCTACTGAAAACTGCTGCTTCACAATGCATGACAATCACACACCCTTCCATGAAAGCGTGTGCTTACTTAGAGGCGTGCCTGAATCCAGGCATGTGCCCCCGTGGCCCCCCTGACTTCTCCCTCTGTCAGGGCTGCTTTCCAGTTTAAGCATTGATTATGAGACCGGATTCCTTTCTTTGAAGTGTATTTCTTTGAAGAACAAGACAGAGAAAGGAAGAGAAGTACCCTCGACAGGGTCTCACGCCTCAGTCCTCCCCCAGGATCACGTGTGCACACACACCTGGGTTAGACAGGCTGACCCGGGAACTGAACCCTGACCTCCTGTGGCTGCATAACCATCTGTTCCGTGGCTTCCAGTATCAGAGAATTGCACTACCACTGTGTCTTATGCCCTGTTACTTTTTTTTTTAGTGCGAGAGACTGTATGCACATGTATAAGATGGGGTAGGGGGAAGTGAACCCCCCGACAGAGTCTACTCACACCACAATTCTTTTTCCTCTAGTTCTCCATCCTGTCGGGGTACGGGCCATATGGGTACACACCCACTCTTGCCTACCTGCCCTGTGTAATTTTCAAGCTGCCAGAGCTGGGACTCAAACCCTGGTCAGCCGTGTGGAATCTGGCTTCCTGCACAGCACTTAACCTCTGTGCTACAGGGCGGCATCTTATTACTTAATTTTCTTTGCTATAAAGTGCATGTGCTCGCCGAAGATAAAGACAGAGGGAGAAGGAAAGTGAGTGCCCCCGGGGGATGGCCATGCCGCAGTCCTCTCTCCCCCACTCTCCTCTCGGGATTTCGGCATGCATACATGTGTGCTCAGCTTGTTTTTCAAGCCACTGGGTCCAAGACTCAAATCATGCAGTTGGCCACGGTGGGATCCAGCCCTCTTAGCCTCCGTGCCATCTGTTGGCCCACTTAAAAAAAACACTTTCAGAGTATCTCTGAGCTAGTGTGCAAACTCAAAGGTTTGAGATGTTACATGGTTTTCCTCCCAGGTCCCGGCTGGCAGATGGTGTAACCGGGAATCCACACCGGGTCTGTCACCTGCTTGTTTAGTTCCTTCCTCTCTCTCTCGAACCCTTTCCTGCCAGGCCTTTCCTACCACTGCACCAGAACCCCCCTTATCAAGGTTACCCGTGAGCCGCACATGGCCGGACAGCTGGCTGGTTGTCAGTTGACACCATCCTGTGAGCCAGTGTTTCCTTGGCTCCCTGAGGTCCCCTCCATCACCACCACACCCTCATTTCTCTGCCTCCTCCCCTCTGTCGCTGACCCTCTGACGCTGGAGCAGCATGAGGCAGTCTGCAGACTTCTTCCCTTGTCTTTCTGCATCTGCTCCCAGAGGCCTCGGGGAGGCTGAGAGCCGGCGTCTATGCACTGCCCACTGCTGTGGAACCTGCCGCTCCAGCAGCCTCCCACAGAGCCCGCGCCTGCTCTGCACACTCCTTGGACCCCTGAGAGGCTCTGTGAGCCTAAAGTCTTGCACCAAACCCCTGCATTCCACCCCCACCTCCCTTGCAGCCAGCCTCCCCTCCCCCCACCGGTGGTCTTGTGTGCCTGGATCATGGACAACTTCCTGCTTCTAGTTATGTGGAGAGAAACACTGCAGTCTGCTCGTCTCCTCCTTCTCTCACTCCCCTCCAATCCTTTAGCAAATCCTATCACCTCTACCCTAAGTGACATCTAAAATTTAGTCCATAGGTCCCGCCGTGGTGACCAGAGTGGCTAAGACATTGCTTTGTAGGCTGGGACTGGGTTGGAGGCCCTGGGTGGGCTCCGGGTCCAAGCTGAAGGCCGGGCGTGCTGGTGTGTGCCTGCACCCCGAGCCACTCAGGAGGCTGAGGCAGGAGGGTCAGGATGTGAGGGCCCCCACCCGACCCCCAGTTCTGCTCGACGCTCACCTAACCGGCCCACCAGTTCCCCAGGCCCAACAACCTCTTTACACAGCAGCTAGAGGGACCTTCGCCAGCTTAAGTCGGAACAAGCTGTCGCTATGTGAAGCCATCCCAGGCTCCTCCGAGCCACCAGAGAGGGGTCCGAGCCCTCCGGCCACCCAGGCGCCATGCTGCGCAGCACGGCCAGCTCCGGGTCTTCATTCCCATGCCTCCCAGCTCGCCGTTCTCGGGGCCTGGCTCTGTGCTGGGCTCTCACAGCCAGCACACTCCTCTCTCCCCACAGATTTCCATGTTGCTTGCCCCTTGTGTTCTGAGGTGTCTTTGCATGCCGCTCTAACAGAGAGGTGTCCGCTGCATTTCTTTCACAGGACAGCCCCCATGCAGAGTTGGGCAGTGGTCGCAGGGCTGTGTAACAGAGCTCCCTACATGGCAGGTTCCGGGTTCACATATGGGGCCCACCCTGAGTACACCAGGCACCCCCATGCCCATGATCTGGGGCTGGCTGATGCCGGAGGTGGACCTCGGTGTCAAGACCCTGTCGGGGACGCTGTCTGTCTGTCTGTCTGTCTGTGTGTCCCTAGCTCATGGAAGGGATAAGTAACTAGTACTCCGTACTGCTCGGTGATGAGCTCCCCAGCACAGCCTCACTCACAGTGCGAACGGGTCTGCAGCCTGTGCACACGATGCTAAGCTCAGTGCCACGCGTGCAGGGCCATGGCAGTGTCTGCCACCGCTGGCCCCCAGATTCACATGGAGTCTCCCTGGAGGCAGGTGCTCAGGGGACGTCTGTGGAGTTAATGGACACAAGAAGAATGAATGGAGGGCCCGTCCCTGGGACAGAGCTGGGCCCTGACACCCCTTTTGGCAGGTCAGACGGTCAGAACACCACGGCCCCACGGGCACTGGCCCTTCCCGGGCTGACAGCTGTCATGTCTCTTTCCAGGTCTGCACCTCTCCCGGGCTGGGTGAGGATTCTGCTATGACTGCTGTCCCCTCGTGGAGCCCGGACTGCTCCTCGCCGCCCCCGCCAGGCCAGGCCACCGCCCCGCCCCGTCCACCCCGGGCCCCGCGTCGCCATGGGCAGCGTCAGTAGCCTCATCTCCGGCCACGGCTTCCACAGCAAGCACTGCCGGGCCTCGCAGTACAAGCTGCGCAAGTCGTCCCACCTCAAGAAGCTCAACCGCTGCTCCGACGGGCTGCTGCGGTTCGGCTTCTCCCAGGACGCGGGCCATGGCAAGACCAGCTCCAAAATGGGCAAGAGCGAGGACTTCTTCTACATCAAGGTCAGCCAGAAGGCCCGGGGCTCCCACCGCCCCGATTACACCGCGCTGTCCAGTGGGGACATGGGGGGCCAGGCCGGGGTGGACTTTGACCCTTCTACGCCCCCCAAGCTGGTGCCCTTCTCCAGTCAGCTGGAAATGGTAAGTGGGGGTCTGGCCAGGGGGTGGTGAGAAAGGCTGCAGAGAGCAAAACGGGGACGGGGTGCCTGGGGAGAAGAGGGGCAGCGGGGGCCAGCAGGGCAGAGGTGACCAGGGCGCTCTGTCTTCCAGGCACAGGGTGAGGGCAGAGCGTTCATCTACACAGGAGATCAAAGGTTGGACGAGGGAATTAAAGCACCAACTGGTCCTCCAGATCAGGGTCTCCGTCTGCCTTAAGCACAGGGGAAATACCAGCCTTCCTGAGCTCCCCTGGCTGCGACCTTGGCCAGGGGAGGACAGGGCGTGCTCCTCAGCAGCAGGAGGGGTCCCCGAGGAGGAAGCGCCACTTCACCTGGCTGGCATAGGGACCGCGGCTGTCTCTCGTGCACGCCCCAGGAGGGGTCTCTCATCTGCCGCCCTGGCCCTGCAGGAACCCTGGCTCGAGCCAGGCCCAGAGGCGTCTTTGAACGAGGGCTGACTTAGCAAAGGAACTCCGAAATCAGCCCTCTGGCCAGCCCAGGTGCTCATGGTCCCCTCAAGGACCTGAATGCCGTTTTCCTATTCATTCCCCTGTCCACTCTGGGGACACAAATCCAGGGCTCTACTGAACTGGGAAACGGCCCTGAGGTTTGCACAGAGCTCCCAGCCTGTCAAACCAAGGGGCCTGTGAACTCAGCCAGTGCTCTACAGAGGAAATTACAATCTCAGCGGGTGTGGAAGTGCACGCCCAGGCCCCAACTACTCAGGAGGCTGAGGCAGGGGGATTGCAAGATTGAGGACAGCCTGGGCCACACAGCAAGACCCCATCTCAAAAGGAAGGAAGGAGGAAAGGGAGGAAGGGAGGAAGGAAGGGAAAAAATAAGAATCGTTACTTCACGTGACCCTCCAGCGTGTGTGGGTGGCCAAGGTCAGCCATCTTGCTCCAGACAGGAGAGGGTGGAGCAGGGGAAGCAGGCCCGACCTACACAGGCTACCAGGCTTATCCAGCATGGCACCCTTCCCCATACCACGGAGACCCCCAGCAGCAGCGGCCCAGGCAGGGGCACCTTAGCAGGGTAGCCCGAGAGTGGTGTTTATCCCTCAGCAGGGCTGAGGCGGGCTGGCAGCAAGCTGGTGCTTCATACACCAAGGTGTTTGGGCCCCCAGGGACACTCCCCGGGCCAGAGGATTTTCTCCTGCAGAGGGCGTGGCAGGCGAGGTCTGCTCTCACACAGGATAGGTCCCGTGGCTCTGGGTGCAGGGGGCTCGAGGCCAGCACCCATTCCCAGGGGGAGGAAGAGACGAATGTGGTCCTTTTCCCCCAGGGCTCAGAGAAGGGCGCAGCGAGGCCCACGGCCTTCAAGCCCGTGCTGCCGCGGTCAGGAGCTGTCCTCCACTCTTCCCCTGAGAGTGCTGGCCACCAGCTGCACCCCGTCCCTCCGGACAAGCCCAGGGAGCCGGAGCTGAAGCCGGGCCCGTGCTCCGGGGCACTGTCGGACTCGGGCCGGAACTCCATGTCCAGCCTGCCCACGCACAGTACCAGCAGCAGCTACCAGCTGGATCCCCTGGTCACTCCCGTGGGGCCCACCAGCCGCTTCGGGGGCTCGGCTCACAACATCACCCAGGGGCTCGCCCTGCAGGACAGCAACATGATGAGCCTGAAGGCTCTGTCTTTCTCCGATGGGGGCAGCAAGCTGGCCCACCCGGGCAAGGCGGACAAGGGCCCCTCGTGCGTCCGCTCCCCCATCTCCACGGACGAGTGCACCATCCAGGAGCTGGAGCAGAAGCTGCGGGAGAGGGAGGGCGCGCTGCAGAAGCTGCAGCGCAGCTTCGAGGAGAAGGAGCTCCTGTCCGGCCAGGCCTACGAGGAGCGGCCGCGGAGCTGCAGGGACGAGCTGGAGGGCCCGGAGCCCAAGGGCAGCAGCAAACTGAAGCCGGCCTCGCAGAAGAGCCAGCGCACGCAGCAGGTGTTGCACCTACAGGTGCTGCAGCTGCAGCAGGAGAAGCGGCAGCTGCGGCAAGAGCTCGAGAGCCTGATGAAGGAGCAGGACCTGCTGGAGACCAAGCTCAGGGCCTACGAGCGCGAGAAGACCAGCTTCGCGCCCGCGCTGGAAGAAACGCAGTGGGAGGTGAGCCGCTGGGGCCTGGGCTCAGGGTGGTGCGGCAGTGCGGCGCCTCCCCTCCTGCAGGGCCGGCCAGCATCAATGGTGAACATGAGCTAGCTGCCTTGGGAGTGGGCACAGTGCCAGCGGGATGGCCAAAGAGGGTCCCCTGTCAGCCATGAGTTTCCAACTCTCCCTGCCATCGCCCTTGTGGCCCCAGAATGAATGTACTCACTGAGAAGCAGGACCCAGAGGCCTGAGGCTGGGCCGGGCTATCCGAGCACTGATCCAAAAGCTACTTTGATGATGCTCCAAAGAAGCACAGTCTGGGGGCCGGCGGATGGCACAGTGGTTATGTTGCTAGACTCCAACATGGCCGACTATGGTTTGAGTCCCAGGTCCGGTGGCTTGCAACTCACACCAGGAGCATGTGCGTGTATGCCCAAGATCCTGAGAGGAGAATGGAGGAGAGGGGATTGCAATGTGGCCATCCCTCCTGGGGAGTGATTTTTCTCACCTTCCCTCTCACTGCCTCTCTCTCTGGCAAGTACATACATCCTAAGGCAAACACTTCTTAAACAAAAACGAGAAGCACAGGCCGTGCCTGAGTCATGCAGGTCAGGACCAGAGAGACAGAGAAAGCAAATGAGCAGTATTTATGCTGCTCCCCTGAGAAAGGGTCCCGCTCACTAGCACGAGTGACCTCCTTAATGGCGGGTCTCAGTAACAGAATGGCCACTCCTCGCAGAGGTGGGAGTCCACTTCCTCTGCATGAGCGGAGAGAACAGCAGGGGAGAGGTGGTACACTCACACACACACTCACACACACTCACACATGCTCAGACACACCTTGAAAAGAGGCACATGGACCTGCCTTGCTGGGAACCAGCTCGCCCGCCTCCTGCTGGCTGGGAAGCAGCCTTTTCCACCTGAGGCCCCAGGGTTGCGGGAGGCAGGTGTGAGCACGGCATTCTGCCTACCTGGGGAGGGGCTAGGGAGGCCATGTTGGTGAGACCAGGCCTGGTTAGGTCATCTGTCTGTGCCCACGTGCACCCTGGTGCCCAGGGGACCGTAGGAAGTAGAGGACCCTTCCTGTGGGAGAGGCAGAGAGGGGTGGCCAGGGAGAAGGGAGAATCACTTCCTGTTTTGTCCTGTGTCCTGAAGAGAAAGGGGCATCGCCCAGGGGGACAGCTCCCTCCCTCCTCGCTGTGGAAGCAGACCCCACCCAGTGGCTGTCTCTCAGTCCCAGGGCATCTTGGAGATGGAGGCCAGTGTCCATCTTCATTCGTCCAGTCCAGAACGAATTGCACCGGGCTGCTTCCGGGCCGTCCAGTACAGGATATGCAGTAAAGCATGAAACAGACTACACCACAGCAGATCGTAGAATAATGACACGTGTTATTACAGGCACATTTTCCATAACCACGTAGAGAAGGCCCACTAAGTGCCTGGCCCTAGGTTCTCTCCTCTAATTCTTTTTTTTTTTTTAAGAGGTTTTTGCTATAGGGCACGTACATTTGCCAGATAGAGAAACAGAAAGCGAGAAATCACCCCCCAGGGGCAATGGCCACACCACAACCGCTTCTCCTCCATCCTCCTCTCGGGATCTTGGGCATACATGCACACACATCTAACACGAGTTTAAGCCACCGGGTCTGGGACTTGAACCCTGGTCAACCACATGGGAGTCCAGTGACATAACCATTACACCAACTACTGGTCCCCCTCTAATTCTTTTTATTTTAAAGAATCATTTAATTTTATTTATGTATGCATTTATTTATTTTAATTTGACCCAAGAGGGACAGATAGAGAGAGGGAGTAAGAAAGCAAGCTGCCACGTCCAGGACTTAACCCGCGGTCGGCCACGTGGGAGTCCAGCGGCCTTAACCACCACGCCCGGCCACTCTCCCCTAATTCTTAACACTGGGCTATTTCTAATCTCCATTTGCAGTTAAGGAAACTGAGGCACAGGGAGGTCCTGATGGCACATAGCTTAGCGACTTGTCACAGTCTGGTCACCTAAAGTAACAGGGCCAGGATGTGCCCCGACCTCGGGCCTCCGCACTCACACCCTGATTCACTGTACCACGTGGCCCTGTGCTCATGGACCCGGAAGCCCCGGACCACTCATGGTAGAGCCAGAATCAGGCCACCTGCCCAGGCTGCTCCTTCCCTGGGGAGGGGTGAGGTCAGAGGAGTGAGCCCGAGCCCGCGTGACAGAAATCTGGCTGCCCTCGGTGGAGAGGGAGTGATGGCCCAGCAGCGGCAGATTAAGCCAGGCGGATTAAGGTCATTGATTCGCACATAGCAAGGGGCCGGCACAGACTGAGGGCTAGGGGTGAGGCAGGTGAGCCAAGCACGGAACGAAAGGGCCACACGGAGGGGCTTGCCCTCTGAGCCACGCAGACCACAGTGCCTGGGAACTGCTGTGGAGGCCCGAGTCCAGGGCAGCGGGGTCCTCTCAGGGGGCTGTGATGACACTCACTCTGTCCCCGTCCCCGCAGGTGTGCCAGAAGTCGGGGGAGATCTCGCTTCTGAAGCAGCAGCTGAAGGAGTCTCAGACGGAGGTGACCGCCAAGGCCAGCGAGATCCTGAGCCTGAAGGCGCAGCTGAAGGACACCCGGGGCAGGCTGGAGGGCCTGGAGCGGAAGACGCAGGACCTGGAGGGCGCGCTGCGCACCAAGGGCCTGGAGCTGGAGGTCTGCGCCAACGAGCTGCAGCGCAAGAAGAACGAGGCGGAGCTGCTGCGGGAGAAGGTGAACCTGCTGGAGCAGGAGCTGCTGGAGCTGCGGGCCCAGGCAGCTGTGCAGCGGGACAGTGCAGCCCTGGGGCCCACCTTCGAGGACGTCCCTGCACTGCAGCGGGAGCTGGAGCGGCTGCGGGCCGAGCTGAAGGAGGAGCGGCAGGGCCACGAGCAGATGTCCTCAGGCTTCCAGCAGGAGCGGCTGGTGTGGAAGGGGGAGAAGGAGAAGGTGATCCACTACCAGAAGCAGCTGCAGCAGAGCTACCTGGCCATGTACCAACGCAACCAGCGCCTGGAGAAGGCCCTGCAGCAGCTGGCCCGCGGGGAAGGCGCCGCCGAGCCCCTGGAGCTAGACCTGGACGGGGCCGACATTCCCTACGAGGACATCATAGCCACCGAGATCTGAGGCCGTCCACGGAGGGAGGGCCGGACACCTGGTGTGGGAGGCGTGCTGAGCCAGTTGGAAGAGGGCTGTCCTCCTGTCTGTCCTGCTCAGCAGTACAGGGCCCTGAGATAAGCCACCCCCTGGGACAGGCCCAGGCCCAGGAGCCTGGAGGGATGGGCAGGGGTGGTAAGAAGCCTTTCCTCCCCTTTCCCCCGGAGCAGGTCAGGCTCTGACTCCTTGGCCTTCCCAGGAGAAGGGGTCACTGTGCTTTGGTTAGGGGTGCCCTAAACCTTGGCCTTCATTCATCATGGTGAGCTACCCTCCCCCAGGGAGGGGGCTGCTATGGGGCCCAGTGGCCACGCCCGGGACTTCTCATCCCATCCACTTCTCATCTGCAAACCTCGCCTTCCATACCAGGACACATGGAGATGCCTTGGAAACAAAAGGAAGCCATCTGTGACCAGAAGCCTTGGACTCCGGCCCCATCGTCACCTGAACGGTGCCTCTGGCCACAGAGGTGTCTGAGGTGGAGTGGGGTGTGCGGAACTTGGGTCGGTACGTCAGAGCCAGCCTGCCCTGGCGAGGCATGGAAAGGAGGGGAAGCTGAGCAGCTGGGCAGTGCAGACTGGCAGGGCCCAGAGGGCTTGGGGGCAGAGCTGCACAGTGACCCGGGGTAGCACCGGCCTGCCCGGGCTCCAGTGTCCGTTGCTGGTTTCTGCTTGCTGGAGCTGAGCGGCCTCTGAACAGCTGGCGGCCTTGGACCTCAGTGACCACTCTTCTTAAAGCCATAGACACTGAGGGCCTGGGTGGGTGCTGGGAAGGGACGTTGAAAGCTCCATGGGTGACGCGAGGGTGTGGCTTCCCGGGAAGAGCCCTCTGACCTTTCCAGCTGGGACTAGAGGCAAGGGTTTCCCCTCCTAGTTCTGGAATGAGTTTCCCTCCCGAGAAGCAAGCTTTTGGATTCGGTTCCCCCTGCATCTACCCGTGGGTGCCGCAGCCTGCCTCCCACTGGCATCTTGCTAAGTTCCCAGACTTTACAGGCCAGGGTGTCCCCAGATGCCAGTGGCCAGAGCCCCAGGCAGGGAACAGAGAGCATCCACAGAGCCTTATGAACAGTCCCCGGGCCACCAGCTGTCCCCGGCCACCTGAGCCCCACACTAACAGTCAGAGAGCAGCAGGCTTTTGCTTTCTCACTCAGGCCAGGCCAGACTGTGGGGAGAGACAAGAGGAGGCTTCTGTCGTTTGGCTCAGGGATTTTTTTTTCCTTCTTTTTTTTTTTCCTTTCCATCTTTCCTGAAGCAAGCCAGAGCTAGCAGGCAGCCAGGCTGTTTGGTTCTATTTTTGACTGTAGCTGCAGCTGCTGTTCTCAGGACAGACACGGACTGATTCCTGCCCCGCACGCCTGCCTGTGGGGGCTCCCTGGGAGGAGGGGTGGGGACCAAGCCCACTGCGGCCCCCCTTCAGGCCCCAGGTAGGACCCTAGGGCTTCCCTCCTGGGCCACCACAGCCCCTCCCTGCGTGTGGGCTGACGGTGGGGTGGCCACCTTCCCCGGTGGCAGGTCTGCTCCTCATATCCCCAGGTCACGCTGCGCCTGTCTGCTGTCCCCACATGACAGGTTTTCTGGAAGTTTGAACCATGGCTCTTAGTCACAGGCTCCATTTAAACCTGGAATCTACAAGCTGAAAGCCTGCTGCCTGCCCTCGCGTTCCTGGCTCTAGGCCTGCGGGCCCTCCGCTCCCACCAGCCTGTGCCTTGTAGGAGTCCCGCCTCCCCGTGACACTGCCCACACAGAGAGACAGGGGTTGCCGCTGCCCCAGGCTGGAAACACCCACACCCCTGGGGAGAGTGCCCGGAAGCCCAGAGCTCCCCACTCCAGACCTGGCCCAATGGGAATAGCCTTCCCCACCTGCCTGCTGCCCTGCCCCGCCAGTCCAGCACTGAGGCCGCAGGAGGCACCAAGTGGCTGTAGAATGTGGGTCTCCTCTAACATAGTGACCTCGCTGTCCTGCAGGCCTGCTCGCTGCCCCTCCTCACTGTGCTCAGACCACCCCAGCTCCAGCTCCTGTGGACAGCTGGGCTGGGCAGAGGCTGGGGAGGCAGGCGCAGGCCAGGGAAAGCTCTGCCTGCCCAACCACTCCCCTGGCGTGCTCACCCACTCACAGACGCTCCCTCTCCAAAGGGTGCCTGGCCTGAAAATGCTCCACCCTCAGCACCACCTCAGCAAGGAAGGGACTATGCCCTGGCTGTGGGGAACCACTCTCCCGCACCACCGCAGGGCATGTTCGGGGCTCCTGTGGGGCACACTCGGCCGGCCGACCCCAGCACGGAGCTCACAGGCATCTCCTCGAGAAGGTCTCACTGAACCTCTTGTCCCTGGGTCCAGCCTGGGGCACCCCATGGTGACAGTCACCCCAGCCAGCCGGGTGGGGCTGTGGGAATGCCCCAGGCTGGGGAGCCGGCCCTCCCCTCCCACCTTTCGGGACTTCCACAGCTCTACGGCCGGGCAGGGACCTTAGCAGCGGCTGGCCCGGAGGCACCAGAGTTCGGAAGGACATGTACATAGTCATTTTTCTCCTTGATGTTTCTTATTTGGTTTGCTTTGCTTTTGACAGCTTTATTTTATTTTTATTTTATTTTATTTTATTTTTTGATGTTGCTTTCTGGCCATGTAAACTATTTCTGGTAATTTTATGTTTTTATTTATGAATAAAGAATGCCGTTTCTCATGCCCTTCAGAGCTGCTGTTGCCCTCTCAAGCAGCCCTTGGTGTGGTGGCTCCTTGGGGCTTTGTCCCTTTGGAACGAGGAGATGCCCCCGGGGACAGCCCAGTGGTTATGAGAGCCAGATCTCACATGGCCGTGCGGTTCAAGTCCCGGCCCCAGCAGCTTGAAAAACATTCCAGGCCCTGTGAACAGCCCAAATCCCCATGGGAGACGCAGAGACGGGAATGTGGCGTGACCATGGCTCGCCGGGGGGGCTTTCTCTGTCTCCCTCTCTCTGGCAACACAGGTGCCCACTGGCAATGATTTTTTTAAAGAGAAAGCGGAACCGGTTCTGGGGGTAGCATGGGCTGCGGGCCAGACAGACTTCAAACTGTCCTAACCTCAGCAACCCTGCCAGCTTACCTGGCCGTGGCCCCTGGGCCCCTTGGAGGAAGCAGGAAAGCAACCAAGGCCAAGTGCATCCAGAAGACAGCCCCTCTCGCCCACAGGGGCACGCCACCTCCTGGCAGGCCGCCAGCTGACCCCTCCCCAGCCAGCCCCCAGGTCCCTGCATAGGGCCTGCCTGGCAGGAGCAGGGTGGCTATTGTTGCCACTCCCCCAGGCCCACAGCCAGAAGGGCACGAGCACAGTGGTGGCCATCTGCCCAGCCCTCTCGGTGCCAGCCTGCTAGCCACCTCACACTGTCGGCTTGGCTCCTGGCTCGGAGGACTCTTGCTCTGGGCAGGACACAGAGAGACTTAGAAGGGACTTAAGCATGTAGAGGGAGTCGGTGCCAGGGCTCCGATGGGGGTGATGGGAATGGTTGGGGTCCCTGGGTATAGGGGCAGGGGTGAAGACCATGAGATGGGGTAGGGGAGGAGAACCAGGCCAGCCACACATCTCCACAGCGGGCAGGCACTTGCACGTGAACAGAGCCTTCCACCCCCGGCGGGCTCCCTGCTTGTCCACACAAGTGACAGGAACAGCTCTGGGGCCGGAGAGGCTCCCCCAGTGGCCCCGGGGGTCAGGCAGCTGGGCCTGGACCTCTTTCTCATTCAAAAAACCCAGCCAGACCTAGGGTATCCCTTCCAGTCTTCCTCTTGCCCTGGCCTAAGGCCGACAGTGCATGCTGGTGACCCCTCAGAAACCCGCCCCCCACTGATTACACGCAGGTATCCCCTCACCCCAAGCGAGGGGCTCACCCTTGCCAAAGAGCTTCAGTTCTGCTGACCCTCAGCCAGTTACAGCCCAGGCGTAGCAGGCTGGGCGCTCCCACTTCACTCGGGGAGGGGTGGGCCTGGTCTGCCATGGAATAGGCCTGCACATCTAGGCCTCCAGCTCAGGGAGTCCCAGCCCGACCCAGCAGAGACTTGCTCATCCCACCCTGCCCGGCCAGAAACGGAGCCCTGGAACCGTGAGCACGTGAAAGAGCAGTGCTTTTAAACCGCGGAGCCCAGGGCGGCCAATCCCCAGGCACAGGCCCGCCCTTCAGCAAGCACCTGGCCAGCCACCTGGGCAGCTCTCTCCACCTGAAGGGCTGGGGCTCGTGGCAAAGCAGGAGCCCTGCAAAAGGACTGGGCTGTAAAGGTCTCCCCTCCGCCCCTCCGGGCTTCTCCCCACCCCAATTCCTGGAGCCCGAGACCTGCTTCTCATTTTAGAAATGCAAGAACAAAAGAGAAACAGTGAGAGAGACCCCTTTTCCCGACAAGCAGCTTGGTCCTCAGCCTCCCTGTGTCCACGGCACAGGCTCCGAGACTTTGATCGAGCCTTAGACACACCCAGCAGGTGGTGTGGAGGTTAAGACGCTGGACACTCTCGCATGACTGACCACAGTTCGAGTCCTGGACCTGGTGCCCGTGAGGCCGGATGCCATACCCCGAGTGTTCTCAGCAGCAGGAGCATTCTGAGCTGGGGAAGAGGGTGTGCTGCCCCCCACTTCCTCCCCAACTCAGGTGTCACAGCCCTGAGAATCACTTCATTCACTCATTCATTCATTTGCTCAAACACACACGCGTTAATTCGGTGAACATCGAACTCCTACTCTACGTCAATCCTTCTTCTAGATACCCGAACTACAGAGGCGACAAGTTGAGGTCCTTCCTCCTTACAGTGTTCACACGCTGGAAAGGAACACGAAGGGCATTTTCTTAACAGAAACAAGATCACTATCGGGCTGATGTAAGCCACTGCGTCTGGACTGTCAGTGCTGTGTCTGGGGCACGGGGAGGCCCAGGGAACTGCAGGAAAAGGCAGGCTGCAGAACACCAACGTCCTGGGCACCCTGGCAGCCACTGTCCTGACGTGCTTACCCTCGCCCTGCCCCACACCTTGGCTCCCCAGTGCCCAGATAAAAGCCAGGCTGCCTTGCGTTAGAAGCCCCTGCTTCTCATTTTAGAAATGCAAGAACAAAAGAGAAACAGTGAGAGAGACCCCTTTTCCCGACAAGCAGCTTGGTCCTCAGCCTCCCTGTGTCCACGGCACAGGCTCCGAGACTTTGATCGAGCCTTAGACACACCCAGCAGGTGGTGTGGAGGTTAAGACGCTGGACACTCTCGCATGACTGACCACAGTTCGAGTCCTGGACCTGGTGCCCGTGAGGCCGGATGCCATACCCCGAGTGTTCTCAGCAGCAGGAGCATTCTGAGCTGGGGAAGAGGGTGTGCTGCCCCCCACTTCCTCCCCAACTCAGGTGTCACAGCCCTGAGAATCACTTCATTCACTCATTCATTCATTTGCTCAAACACACACGCGTTAATTCGGTGAACATCGAACTCCTACTCTACGTCAATCCTTCTTCTAGATACCCGAACTACAGAGGCGACAAGTTGAGGTCCTTCCTCCTTACAGTGTTCACACGCTGGAAAGGAACACGAAGGGCATTTTCTTAACAGAAACAAGATCACTATCGGGCTGATGTAAGCCACTGCGTCTGGACTGTCAGTGCTGTGTCTGGGGCACGGGGAGGCCCAGGGAACTGCAGGAAAAGGCAGGCTGCAGAACACCAACGTCCTGGGCACCCTGGCAGCCACTGTCCTGACGTGCTTACCCTCGCCCTGCCCCACACCTTGGCAACCTCGTCTCTCGGGCCTCGGCAGGCGGGTCCTCAGGAGACCTGCCGCTTTCCCTGTCACTGCCTCTCGACACCTGTGTGAGCAACCCTCACCTTACCTGCCATGGCTGTCATGTTCCTCACAGAAATTCGGAGCCTGGGCGATTTGTAACAGTAAAGGCCTGGCCCGGCTCTGTGACTGGTGTTAGGGCAGCTGGATCCCACATGGCCAACTGTGCAGTCAGAACTGAGCCCCAGCGGCCCGGGAAACAGGCGCATATGCGTGCTTGTCTGAAACACCCAAAGGAGGGAGATGGAGGAGAGGGGATTGCAGTGTGGCAGGCCCCATGCAGGGCGTGCCTCCTCCTCTCCCTCTCTTGGTCTCTGTGCTTCTCTCTGGTGAGTTTGCATGCTCTCTAGAAAACAAGTAAGGGGGACCAGCAGGTGGTGTGGTGATTAAGACGCTGACTGACCACAGTCAGTCTCACATGACTGACCACAGTTCGAGTCCTGGACCTGGTGGCTTGCTTTCTTGCATTCTCTTTCTCTGTGTCTCTCTCTGGTCAAGTTAAAATAGATGAATGAATACATAAAATTAAAAATAAATAATTATTTTTAAAAAAGAAAACAAGTAAGTAAGTAAAGGTTTACTTAGCTCACGAGTCAGAGAGCCAGCGTCCAATCTGGGGAGTTTTCCTGTTTGTAGGGTCCCGATCACATCGTTAGGGTGGGAGCAGAGCAGAGTGGCTGTGTCCATCAGTGGCTCCCTGTTCCAGTCTCCTTCCCTCTCCTTATTCGCTCACCAGAACTCGACCGTGGGGGCCCCATCAAGTGACCTGAGTTC